TATACTTTTCTGGTTTTTTTTTTATTTGCACTTTCCATTTTGAATTGGAGTATAGCAAATTAACAATGTTATGATAGTTTCAGGTGAACGGCAAAGGCACTCAGCCATACATATACATGTATCCATTCTTCCCCAAACTCCCCTCCCATCTACACTGCCTCATAGCATTGAGCAGAGTTCCATGTGCTATATAGTAGGTTCTTGTTGGTTATCCATTTAAAATATAGCAATGGATACATATCCATCCCAAACTCCCTAACTATCCCTTCTCCCCATCCTTTCCCCCACCCCTGCCACCAAAAGTTCATTTCCTAAGTCTGTGAGTCTCTGTTTTGTAAGTTCTTTGCATCATTTCTTTTTGTATTCCCCATATGAGAGCTGTCATGTGATATTTCTCCTTCTCTGACTTCACTCAATCTGACAGTCTCTAGGTCCATCTATGTTGCTCAAATAGCATTATTTCATTCTTTTTAATTCTGTGTAATATTCCATTATATACATGTACCATATTTATCCATTTCTCTATCCGTAAATCATAAATAGTTCTGCAATGAACATTGGGGTGCATGAATCCTTTCAGATCGAGTTTTTCTCTGGATACATGCCCAGGAATGGGTATTTTACACCAGTTTAAAGTTTCAGAATTCAGCATGCATATTACATTGATTAGTTACTAGAATTACTAATTATTAGAGTGAGTATCGGACTTCCCAGGGGCACAGTTATAAAGAATTCACCTGCCGATGCAGGAGACGCAGGAGATGTAGGTTCGATCTCTGAGTCGGGAAGTTTCCCTGGAGTTGGAAATGGCAACCTACTCCAGTATTCTTGCCTGAAAAGTTCCAAGAGGAGTCTGTGGATACAGTCCATGGGGTCGCAAAGAGTTGGACATGACTGAACATGCATAAGGAACAAGAATGAGCATCACGATCCAAGGTATTCATATTTTATTTTTCCAAGGAAAGTTGTTACTAAGTCAGGGGCATTTCTTGTATCTGATGATAACTTAAGATTGAGAAACCGTATTAACTCTTTAGAGAATGCTTAGCAACAGTTTTTACCATGTTCCTCTCCTACCCACGGAGTAATTTTTGCTTTGCTGCCAAACGGGCCGAGTTACGGAATTTTTGACCTCTCTCCTCCTTTGCCTACACATCTTACCAGCTTTATTTGTGCTTGATCAAGTCTCCCTTCCTTCTACAAAGGGTGGTGTTTGTTTCAGTGGCAAAATGTGTGCGTTGTATTGTGTATGCTTTTAAGATATCACAGGCAACTTTTTACTTTCTAATACTAAGCTGTTTGGTGTGCCCATTACATTTATTTCAGGATAATAAATTTCATGAAAGCATTATGCTTTGGAAAAAATCCATATTTTGAAAGGGAATACAGATTCTAAAAAAATTTTAGAAATGCTGGAAATATTTCTTCTAGGCATAAATGAAGAAATTTGAAACTCAGTGATTATAATCTGAAATATACTTGTTTTAGTGTTCTAATATAGTTTTGTAAAGTGATTTAGCATATATCCAGGGAAAAGTTTTCTCCAAAGCCTGTGGTCTATGCAACTTAATATTTTTATTATGTCTCTAGAAAATAAAACTGGACAAATAACTGAGTTATTTTAAATTTAAAATTTAAAAGTTTGTCATCTTTTATTTGAGGAAAATGCTAAATACCCCAATGGAGAAGACTGTTAAAATACTTACATTTTAGCTGGAGAAAACACTTTCCTCCAATTGTTCTTTTGGTGCTCTCAAATGCAAAGATACTACACTTAAGACTGATTAATTTTGGTGGAATACAGAATAATGAGAAAAGGACAAAGAATTTCAAGATTTAAAAAGCCTAGTCAACCTCATGCAAAAATATTAGAATAAATCCAGATACAAGCTTATGGAAAAAAGAATTAGAAAAACAATAAAAAGGAAGATTATGTTAAAAATAGCCAGAGATTAAAATACAATTACAGAAGAATGGAATTAGGAAGACAGTTGAATATTATTTTCAAAGTTCTGAGAAAAAAATGACTGTTAGTCTAGAGCAAAGCAAAATTCTTTCAAGAATGAGCATGAAAAAAGGCACTCAGTATGACATCCACAAACAAATGAAAAAATGAATTTACTGTACCAGACTCTTACCAAATGAACGATGTAAATGTCAACATTATAAGACAGAATGAGTCAAACCAAGGCTGAGATGCAAAAGGGAATAGACAGCAAAGTAAATGAGAAGCATACAGGTAATTCTTAGCTATACTAGTGGATGACGAATGTGTGATATGACCAGAATGTTTATACACTCTTGAGGAGTATAGACATTGATGCAATTACTTTTGAAACTAGTTTGGCATTGTGTGTGTTAGTCACTCAGTTGTGTCTCCTGCATTGCAGTCAGATTGAGCCACCAGGGAAGCCCCAACTTGGCATTATCTATTATAATTAAATGTGCATGCTCTGTAACCAAGCAAGTTCATACCTAGGTATATCAGGAGAAATGTACAAAGAAACACATCCTCAAACAGGATCAACTCAAGAACCATTGATGGTAATGGCTACAAAACATATAAAAACATATTTTACATAGTCATATAGTGAACTATTATACAGTAATCAACCCCTAAACTGCGGGAACATACATTAGCTTGGGTGGGTGAATATACAATGTTAAGAAAAAATTAAGTTGCAGATTATATAAAGAATGAGTCCATTCATCTAAAGTTTGATTCTCAACAATGTGACCTCATGGTCTGTAGCCTGCCAGGCTCCTCTGTCCACAGAATTCTCCAGGCAAGAATACTGGAGTGGGTTGACACTCCCTTTTCCAGGGGATTTTCCTGACTCACGGACTGAACCCAGGTCCTGCATTGCAGGCAGATTCTTTACTGTCTGAGCCACCAGGAAAGTCCAATACATTTCATAATAAAATATAAAATGATAAGCAAGAAAAGTTTGGGTTGCACAATAGATTAATAGGTCAAAAAGTGGTCATTTGTGTGAAAAAAATTGAATTTAGATTCTTATCACAGACAATAGAGAACAATAGAGGCCAGATGGAGTAAAGATCTAAATATGAAAAGTAAAGCTATCAAAACTTCATGAAAATTATCAAAGACATATTTATGATATTAGAACAGGGAAGATTACTTTCAGTGAAAATTTAAAGCACAAACCATAAAGGAAATGATTGATATATTAAAGTTAGAACTTTTTTATTCTGAAGGGCAACCATACAAAATGAAAAGGCAAATCATAGATTAAAAGCACCTATTTTTCACATAGATAAATGATTGAGGATTAATATAGAGAATATAGGATTAATTTAAATTTGTGAATTAATAAGAAAAAGACAATGGATTCAACAGAGAGAGCAGAGGATGTGAATAGTCAAAAACTATAGTAAAATACTTGAGTGGCCTAAAAAGTCTCAGTAATTAGAGAAATACAAGTTAGAATATCACAGAATTATTTCAGGACTGTTACTGTGGCAAACATTAAAAAAAAACTCATGATACCACGTGTTGGCTAGAATATGAGAAATGCACACATTTCTGGGTGGAAATGGTAAACCACCTTTGAAAACATCTAAAGTTGACTAATTAAATATTTTGTAACTTTGAAATTTCATTTTAAGATGACTTGTCTTGGAAATACTCTGGCATGTATTCACAAAGAGAAATGTACAAACACATCCAGTGTAGGACTTTATGTTCTTACTATCCTACTTGAGAAGAGGTATACCAGCTGCAGACTATTCATACAATAAATGTTGAATCTGGGTATTCATTTAATTGAGTACCCTAAAGCAGATAAAAATGAATGAATTGATTCTGTATGTGTCAATAGAGAGAAATCTGAAAAGTATGTTTTGAGTCAAAAATACAATTTCAAAAAAATATGAATATTATTTATGTAAAGTTTTCTGACACAGTATATATTTTATACAGAAAATGTTTGTTTAACATAGGATACAAAAACATGCATTGGAGGAATTCTTACTATATTCAGGATGTCAGTTCTTCCTAAATTGATCTATAGGCTTAATGCAACCCCAGTCAAACAGAATCCCAGTAGATTATTTTGTGAATATAGAAAAACTAAATCTAAAGTGTATAACGAGAGGCAAAAGACCTGGAATATCCAGTGTAGCATTGAAGGAGAACAAAGTTGGAGGACTGACACTACCGACTTCAAGACTTATTATAAAGCTTCAGTAATCAAGACAGTGCAGTAATGGTGAAAGAACAGAGAAATATTGGGTTGGTCAGGAAGTTTGTTTGGGTTTTTCCATTCCATTTTATGGTAAAATCTGAATGAACTTTTTGACCAACCCAGTATTTTATGGCAGTGACAACTTTGGCTTTAAATTCTCTGCAACCAGCATGCATATGACACAGAGATGTTATTAATAAATGCTTATTGAATAGCTTACTGTCTAAATTAATTAGCTTGTATAAATTTCTTCTAAATTCTATAATATCAGAAATTATTATCTTAATTATATAAATACTTCTGGGTGAAGACTTTTGTTTGGGTCTGCCTTGCAGTCTTTGAATTCCAACTATGCAGGGATATCTGAAACAAACATGAGATGTTAGATTCATTATCAAAGTGAAAGAACAAAGTTCCTTTACATAGAGAACTTGAGAGTTTAATCTGACCTTGACTCTGGTTCCTAATGCCAGCACCTGGGATTACTTTGGTTCCTGAAGATCATCCAAGCCCTGCTCTTGAGCCTCCCATTTATTCAGTGAGCTCTGAAGAGTTTTCAATAATTTCCATCTGCACTTTCACTATTTTTATAATCAGAGATATCCAGAGTTATTTGCCATTACTAAGACCATGGACCCCAATTTATATGCTTACATAAAGTTCAACAGATTAGCAAATGATATCAGATATTTCTTATAATGTTGAATGTGAAGCATACTTAGTAAAGTTTATTGTGTGCAATCTTTAAAGAAATGGAAAAACTGCAAAATGATACTTGTCTATTATTTCAAGGTCATTTGCCTGTGAACCTTCCAACTCCACCAGAAACTACAGTTCCAGTACCACTGCCTCCACACAACTGTACAGACGGTGAATTTGTTTGCAGGTCTGATGGTCAGTGTGTTGAAAATATCCGGAAATGTGATTTTAGATATGACTGCCCTGACCAATCAGATGAATCCTCTTGTGGTATGTGAATTCCTAAATTTTGCATTAAATATAGCCATAAAACAGATAAGAAGACACTAGTGTAATCTCAAGTAGTATTGTAATGTCCTAGTTAGAAGTCTTCAACCTGGTTTAAAGCAGTTTCTTGATATAAAAGGTATTTGTATAGAAAGTGATGGAAGAATCCGCATACATCTTCTATCATGTCCAACAAGAGGTAAGTGTCTTTAATATTTTAGATTCAAAATACTTGTTTTCATGAACTTAACTTGATTCCAGGGCTATCATTTACCAGCCCTTTTAAAATTCATCTTCGTTTTGTCTTTATTCTTCAATATCACTAAATGGAAATATTTAGAGAAAAAGCATAATACCCTCAAATAAGATGAATCTGTTTAAATTTTGCCATTGTCAAAATACACATATAAAATGAATACCATGTCAAATGTGCAGAGTTAATAAGAAAATCAATCCTAGTACATGTAGACACTTCAGTAACCATATACTGTTGAAAGATGGTATCCATTTCTTGGCATCTACCAATCTATGACTTTTTAAAAATGGATCTAGGCAAATTATTTAACTTAAAAGTGAATGTCTCAGTCAGAGATACAAACTGAGAGGAGGAAAATTAATCTGCATCTGAATAGGCAAAGCACAGAATCAGAAGAAATAAACACTTGTGAATTTTTCCCTTACTTGCTCATTATTAAGTATTGATTATATGTGAATTTACCATAATATTGCTCAAGTGTCTTGATAATATTAAAGATTTAGAACATACAGACAGTGCAGTGTATAGTGACATTCTAATTTGTCTGTGTCAGCCTCATCAAGGAATTCCAAAACTTAAAAAATATAGATACACATGTAAACTGCTAAGTTGCTTCAGTCGTGTCCAACTCTGTGCGACCCCATAGACAGCAGCCCACCAGGTTCCCCCGTCCCTGGGATTCTCAAGGCAAGAACACTGGAGTGGGTTGCCATTTCCTTCTTCAATACATGAAAGTGAAAAGTGAAAGTGAAGTCGCTCAGTTGTGTCCGACTCTTCGCGACCCCATGGACTGGAGCATACCAAGCTCCTCCGTCCATGGGATTTTCCAGGCAAGAGTACTCGAGTGGGGTGCCTTTGCCTTCTCCAACATGTAAACTAATCAAGGCCAAAAAAACCTCATAAAATCAAAGCTGATCCACTTTGTGAATGAGATGAGACAGTAATTAACTCAAGTTGGTCAGGAAGATACACTGTGTATCACAGATGTGGGATAATGGAAGATGTTGTGGTATTCAATCTTCTTCATGGAATGACAATAGAATCCTCTTGTAATCACATATAAGTTATCTTTGTAAAAGTTTACACAAAACCTAGTTAATTACATCTAATGAGCATTTTTAGTGAATACTGACTTTCTTCATAGTTCGGCTTAGAAATTTTAGTAATGTCATTGATGATTGGATGGGATATTTTGTTAAGTTTCGTTAAGTTCTTTAAATGTCTTGAATGCTTACAATTAAATTACCATTTTAAAATCATGAGGATGTTTGTTTATTTTGATTAAACATGAATTATTGCCATTTATTTCTGAACAAATTTTATGTCTTGCCTCCTCTATCTCTTTGTAAGATGAACTATTGTGATAAATCTTTCTGTCATCTGCAGTCTTACATTTTGTAATTTTTTCATTGTAATAAGAACACAACATAAGATTTACCCCCTTGATACATTTTTAAGTGTATAATATGGCATTGTTGACTATAGGTACAACGTTGTACAGCAGATAGCTTGCCTGAAACTCTGTCCTATAATTTTTTAAAAATCTATACTTTTTAAGGTCTTTAAATTATATGAAGAACAAGATTCTATTGAATACTTAACCTCTTCACAGAATAATCATTTAATCAATATTAATATCAGTGATTAAATAACACACCTGAATGTCATCATTAAAATCACTTTTTTTGATGGAGTGTTTCCTTCTCAAATTTTATGTTAAGCTGTGAACCCAAGTTTCTAAATGGTGGTAGTGGTAGTCTCTGCCGTTATTGTTTATGCCATCTAAAGATACCCATGGCTGATTCATGCTGATGTATGGCAGAAACCATTAAATATTATAACATAATTAACCTCCAATTAAAAATTGAAAAAACCTGGAGGTTTTTTTTTTTTTAAACACACCAGGCTTTCCATTTTATACACAAAACATTGAATTGACTCTCTTAGAAGTAGAGGATTGAAAACAGACACACATATGAACACATGCAGAGAGAAAGGGGGGGGGCAGAGAGGAAGAGAGAGCTTTTGTTTTCCCACACAACCTATGTATTTTAAAAAATCACTGTTTTTTAAGTTTTTGATATTGGAATACAGTCATAAGAACATTGAAAACTTTCAAGGAAAGAGATTCAGTATGAAAGCTGTTGAAAATCTTATTGCTTTGAATTTAAGTAATTTGGAATTTAGTTTTCCAGTAATACTGTGACAAAAGAACAGACTTATCAGAACTTGGAGGTCATATAAGCAATGTAAGTGTTGTGTCAGAAGAGACTGGTGATGCTTGAAGTGCTGCTTTAGGAGCTAATTAAAATCTTACTTGTTTATGAAAGCAGATTCTTCAGTATGTGCTTTTATTTCCACATTTCAGTGACTATAGATATTTGAATATAATACACCTAGATTTCTTTAAAACTCTTCAAGTGATTATGTAAAGCATTTGCCTCATTATTTCAGTAATGTTGAAAAGTTTGATTAAAAATTTTAAAAATCCCCAAGTGTAAGAAAGTGCTGATGCAGATGGAAATTGCCATTTATTGATACATTTGTTGTGATTAGCTCATCTTTTCTTGGTCCCATTCTCTTCAAGCTATGGACATTTGCAGTTTTGAAAATGGAAGCCTGTGTAAATGGTACCAGCCAATCTCAAAAAAATTAATTGAAGATTCAAACACATTCAGATGGGGACTTGGTAATGGAACCAGTATTCATCATGGTGAGGAAAATCACAGGCCATCGGTGGATCATACAATGTAAGTGACCACATATTTGGAAAATGTCTCTTAGGAACTGTTTATTAAGCACTTCCCAAATTGCTGCCTTGCCCCCTTACCCTGTTAGTGCTCTTGTAAAGATGAATGTTTAAGTGAGAGAATAAGTGGACTAAGTATTCTTTCTTACAAGATTGAAGAAAACATTTAATTAAAAAATTAGTAAATGCTCTTATAAAAGTCATAAAGAGTAAAGAAAGTCATAGAGAGAAAAATACTGTATATTAATGCGTATATATGATGTCTTGAAAAATGGTATCATTTTTCTTGCTTGCTTAGTTGCTCAGTCACGTAGATTCTTTGCAACCCTTTGGACTATAGCATGCCAGGCTCCTCATCTATAGAATTTTTCAGGCAAGCACACTGGAGTGGGTTGCCATTTCTTCCTCCAGAGGATCTTCCCAACCCAGGGATCGAACCCACATCTCCTGTGTCTCCTGCACTGCAGATGGATCCTTTACCTGCTGAGCCAATGGGGAAGCCCCCCTCAAATGGTATAGATGATCTTATTTGCAAAGCAGAATTAGAGTATGGACACCAAGGGGGTAGAGGGGAGAGGAATGAATGGGGCGATTGAGATTGACATATATACATTATTGATATGAAACTATGTGTAAATAGATAGCTAATGAGAACCTACTGTACAGCACAGGAAACTCTACTTAGTGCTGTGTGGTGACCTAAATGGGAAGGAAATCCAAAAAAGAGGGGAGATATGAATGCATATATGTATATATGCTTCCCAGGTGGCACTAGTGGTAAAGAACCTGCCTGCCAATGCAGGAGACATAAGAGATGTGGGTTTGATCCCTGGGTGGGAAAGATCTCCTGGAGGAAGGCATGGCAACCCTCTCCAGTATTCTTGCCTGGAGAATCTCATGGACAGTGGAACCTGGTGGGCTGCAGTCCATGGGAGCGCAAAGAGAAGGACACAACTGAAGTGACGTAGCGCACACACACACACACACATACATACACACATATAGCTGATTCATTTTGCTGTGTGGTAGAAACTAACAATACCGTAAAGCAAGTATAATAAAAATTAATATTTTTTAATTTAAAAAATTTAGAAAAAGCATTTCATAGACTGCCTTCAATGTGTATGCAATTTATTATACCTCATGAAGTCTTTGTGTATTGATATGCATTTTTATTGTGTTTCAATGTGTTTTGCAACTGGTGAGGATAGATGACACAATCCCCATTTCCTTGGTCTTTATGCTCTTCTCCAAGTAAACTACTCCTTTACATGCAAAAAAGTCATAGAACCCAGAGAAAAGCATGCGTAAGTGAAGAAAAATAATTTGTAATATGGCCCAGGATCCAGAAGGAGTTATATATTCATCCCTTCTCCAAATTTATTTTCCTCTTTTCTTCCTTTTCAAACTTCTCCTCTGTCACCTTGCCCTTTCTCTCTTCTTCCAGTCATTGCTCTTTATCATCGTTTATTTTGGTCTTTTCTTTCAAGTTTTAATAACTCATTCCTTCCCCTGTTTTGTAGTCTGCAAATAATACTCCCTACAAGCTCCCATTTTTCTTTTTTCCTTTTAATGATTTCAAGGAAATGTTACTGCAGACAACAAAGAACTCCCCGTTTATATTACAGAGAATCTTTTCAAAACCTTTATGCCTTCCCACTTCTCCGCCGGTAAAGCTTTATGACCCCCAGCCCCTGTGGTTGGTTGCTGCTTCAAAGAAAACTCAAGGAATATCTGCTGTCCAGTCCATTATCGCCCTGGCCGACTTGACCTTGCACTCAAGGGGATCACTGTATCTTTAGTGTACAGTGACTTTATTTTCCTGACTGACTTTTGCACCCTGATTTTTTGAGCTCTCTTTTATTGTTTGTGTTCCATTAAAATGGTTCCAGTTTTTCCATCCTTTTGTTTAAACATCTGCAACCAAGTTGCCCAAAGTATATAGAGTAGCAGATATGAATGCTCCTTTGTTTTGACCACATCTGACAATTGGCAAATAAGTTTTGTAATTTCACTATACGAAAGTTTTCTCGGGCTACTTCTCACATAAAAAAGCATAGGATAATTTCAGAAAATTTCTGTGGCTCATGCGAAGCTGTGCTTCATTAATAATCTATATTTTTGTAAAGAAAAAGAGGAGCGTCTCATTTCTAGGTGGTAAAAGTATAAATAGAACTATGACAACATATAAGCAGAGTAATATAATCGACTTTTAGCTTGTTTGTCTCCACCCCAACCCCCACAACCTCCAGCAGACTGCAAATTCCCTGAGGAATTTCAAGGACTGTGATTCCCATTCATTGCATTATTTTTAAGATTCGTTATATAATTAAGTACCAGTAATTAATTGTTGACTGAGTTAGTTGATGATTAGGATCAATATATTGATACTTTATAATTGAAGGCTGCAAGGCACAAAGTTAAATATATCCCAAATAGGAATACTTAATCAGATAATGTTTAATGGATGAGCACTGCATGCAGTGAGTCCTGGAGAAGGGTGCATTCCCTAAGCTTCCATCTCCTCTTGCCTTCCTCTCTGTTTTTTTCTTTTTTCTCCCTCCCTTTTACTTCGTGAAATAGTTCTTCTGTGTCCTTTATCCTACTCTCTGGCTTGTAGTAGAACCCCAAGCTTCCTCTATGGCTCAGATGGTAAAGAATCTGCCTGCAATATGGGAGACCTATGTTTGATCCCTGAATTGGTAAGATCTCCTGGAGCAGGGCATGGCAACCCACTCCAGTATTCTTGCCTGGAGAACTCTATGGACAAAAGAGGCTGGTAGGCTGTAGACCACAGGGGCTCAAAGAGTTGGACACGACTGAGCAACCAAGCATGGCATAGAGCACAAGCTCAGTTTACCCAAATTCTGTTTGTTTTTCTTTGTTGTTGTTGTTATTTTTAAAGAGGAGTTTTTCTATTTAGAAAATATTTTTTTCTCTCTCTCACTCTCTCAGATATCTGGCTGTCAAGATTTAAAGCCAGGTTTTTAGACTGTTGTGTCTGAAATAGTCTTCAAGAGCACTCTTGAAAATACAAAAGCTCTACACTAATTCTTTCATTCTATGATTTCACTTCACCTTCAGGCAAAGACTGCTTCTGGCTTAGGGTGGCGAAGATCATTCATAAGTTAGTACGAAGAAAAACAGGTCACATTACTGTATTTCAAAATATTCTCTCACTTTATATACCTAGTGAAGCAGTAGAATGTCTATCATGATGGAGTAGGAATATGTAGGGAGGTTTTCATTGTGTAGTTGAATCTCTGGTAAGTCTTGTGTTTTTCATCATGGAAATGAAACGGTAAAGGCTAACTAAGTGAAGTGATATTCCAACCCTCTTCGGTTTGTGTTCACACTTTAACAGACAAGTCTTTATACCTGAGGATCTGAAGTGAACTCTGGGTCTATAATAAGGGTTGTATCTTTATTTTACTTTTTTGTTTGCAGGAGAGTAACACCATTCCATATAGCTGTTTCATTCAACATATGTATATGAATTAGAAATAGTCTTCTCTTCTTCTGGGGCTTCCTCTATGTGGCCGTGGTCTTAGCAATGGGGCTTGTGAGTGGATTCTCCCTTCATCCTGCCCAGCAGGGACCAACTAAAGGCACCTGGCATGATATTTTTTCCTAGGATTGAAATCTAAATATTTATTTAAAAACACATATTGTTCTCAATTATAATCTGAAGAAATAACAAAGTAAAACCTATTCAATAGAAATATCATTGCAGTTTGCATGTTCTTTTGAGATTGGAGTCAGACGAAATTTCCATTTCCTTTAACTTAGGCAGTGAGAGGGAATATTTAGTAGAAAAATTATTTTCTTGGTATTTTGGGAAAAGAACTATGATCTAGTTAAACAATAACAATAACAACAACACACACACACAAAACACAGAAGCAAAATGAATTTATATCCATTCATGCTCCAGGAGCTACTGCAGAACTTGGAAAAACATGAATCTTAACTGAGAATTGTTTAAAAAAATTATTTGCTTACTATTGAATCAAGGCATTTGGATTACCTAGCATCTAAGCTTTGTAGCTAATTCATATTAAGTATGAATATGAATATGTAGCTAATTCATATTAAGTTTAGAACATTGATACTATAGGAGTGTCATGCATGATTTCTCTCAGTTTGTAATTTTATAAGACCTCAGAATCCTGTCCTCTAACCTCCATAGTCAGTTCAACAAGCCAAGTCAACTTTACCATAGTATGTAAATTGGTAAATTGGCTTATAGGTAAGTACCCTAAAATTTATGATCATTTTTATCTCACAAGAAAGCCTTTGATCCAGCTTATTCATTTTCACAGCTGGAAGCAAGAAGAGCAAAGTTTTGAGTCCCTGTCCCTCAATTCCATTTTATTTGACTTCAGTAAATGCCTATCTGTTGGTTAAATAAGGCCTGCTATAAAGATTTTTTAGGAGCCTGAAATCATTCCCTCAAGCAGATTAAGCACTCTCTATTTATCGTTCATGTGGAATTATGTCTAGTAGAATACACATGCATCTTCTGGGTCGGTGGTTTCTGACTGCTCCCAGAAACTGGAGAGAAGTCTTGCAAAGTATAGATCGAGGACCTCTGATCATGTTTCTGTGTTTATTAATATTTAAATATGTAATACATTTATTTAAAATGCATTACACTTGAATCAGAATCTTGGGGCTAGAGCTGGGACTCTGTACTTTTAGTATAACTTCCAGATGGTTCTAAAACCTCAACCTTAGCAGCTGTCTATGGGAGAAAGTGGGGAGGGTATTGCTAAAAGAGGGTGGCTTTCTTAGCAACTATTTCCAATTTTAATCAGAACTGACTCATTTTCCTCTAAATCCAGTGACTAATTAAAAAATTTAGAACAAAATATTTCAGGTAAAACGAAGTGATAGAAAAATACAAAGATGATTTTATTCAAAAACAACAAAATGTGTGTGCTATAAAGTAACTATTGTAATTGAGAAATCATATGGGAGAAAACTCGACACTGTGTTCAT